TATGGGTTTTTTTTGGCTCCCACATCTTAACTTTCTCTTTAAAGTGGTGCAAATCCAGAAAGGTGCCATATGCTGCAGCAAGGCACGGCCTTCTTGGACTCTGCCAAGTAAAGCAGAGGAGAGACAGAGGCAATATAAGCATCCTCCCCCAAGTGCTGCACAGGCAGACAGAGTGAGCCACACACACACTGGATCCAGACACCACCTTTGCTTAGAGTAGTTTGCCCCTTGCTGAATCAGATGCTGCCATGTAGGCTCAAAGGGAAATGGAGCTGGAGCAGGGCCTGGAGCCCAAGTGTGATGGGGAAGGGCTGAGGGTCCTGGGGGGTTCAGTGTGGAGAAGAGAAGGCTCAGGGGGGACCTGATGGCTCCCTCCAAGTGCCTGAGAGGAGGATGGAGCCAGGAGGGGCTGGGCTCTGCTCCCAAGGAACAAGGGATGGGACAAGAGGAAACGGCCTCAAGCTGCACCAGGGCAGGTTTAGATGGAGCTGAGGAACACCATGAGGGGCTGGCATGCTTCTGTGACACTGGATTTGTTCCATAACAAGGATTGTTTCCCACCCTGTTCAGGGTTTGGGAATAGTAGCTGAGTCCACCCTGGGGCTTGGGAGCGGACTGGGTGTTTTTCTATGGTCCCACAACCATATAGGACTGTGATTTTCCTTCTCCCTTCCTCTCCCAGGGCACTCACCCCTTCCTCCCATCCATCTCTTCCCTTTCGCAGCCAGAATTACCAAATCGGGTGGTAAAGATTAAAACCACTCCTGAAACCATCCTGTGCAAGAAAGGAGCATTTAGAACTCTAAATCCTCCAATCCCCTTATTCCAATTAGGATCCTTTCTCTTACAGACCTGGGAGTGATGCTAGAAAATGGCTCCAATGTGCTCTCAGGAGACAGCAGCATCTTGATCAGCTCCTTGACGTGGGGAAGACTCACCTGGAAATGTACAAGAGAAAATCCCCACCACACACATGGACTCACACACACACAGGTTAAGGAAGGAAAAAAAAGAATGGGGGAGGTAGAAGTTCCTGAACACTCCCTAAGCTGATTAAAGGGTATTTTACGTAGGAAGGATTTAGCCATTCAGTTCCTGGCACCATCTGACCTCAATAAACTCCTGTGTCATCAACAGGGGCCACCACTGGATGGGGTCACAGCCTGTGCCTGGGCTCCTCAAAGCTCAGTGCACCCAGACAGACTTGTGACAGCATTGCTGGATGTGTGTGTGCTGGATGTGGTGGTCCTTCCCCACCTTTCTCAGCCTGTGTTGACCCTGTGCACTTAGCTTTGAGAACAGACCTCAACGAGAGCAATGCAGAGGCTGTAGGAACAGTTTGGGATGTGCGTTTTGGCTAACCAGGGTGTCTCCATGAAGAAGAGCAGTCCCAGCAGAGCCTGAGTTGCTGCAGTAACACAGCTGGGGTCTGGACTGTGGACAAGCTGGCAAGAGATGCTGCCTGGGATGGGTTGCCCTGGATAAACAGCGTCCCCAAAGGCTGGATGGGCTTTCCTGGTCCAGGCAGGAGCAACAGTGTCTGCATGACATTTATATCCAGTAAAGCTCTGTGGAGGTGGGGTCTGACTGCATCCACACTGCTCCTACAGCCAAAGCTTTTCTGCTCTCCTGTATTAGCTTCTTCGCAGTGTGAAGGGGAATTTCTCCCCTTCAAACCCCAGAATGACCCCCTCGAGCTCTGTGTGCTGGTTTTGAGACCCTGCCTGCATCCTTCCTGTGGTGTGGGGTCAGGATGTCCAGCTTTAGGATGAAACCTTCTCCTCTTCCAAAGGCAGTTCCTTCTGCCTTTTCCTCCAATGCAGGCTCATGTGCTCTCCTTAAACACTGCCAGATTTGGGGCTAATACATTTAACATGGTTATAAGATGCTGTATTTCACACTGCAGGTTTGGTGACTCCCTCCCACTGTAAAGGGGGGAAAAAAGACCTTCTTCTCTGCTGTTCTTAGCTTTGATGCCTTTGGAATGAGTCAGCTTGTGTGCACTAGCCAGTAAATACCCTTTAATGCAGGGTCTTGCTGTCAGACTGGGGATGGCTGCTCTGTTTCATAACCTGTGCTCACTGCCATGCACAAGGGTGTTCCCAGCCAACAGTGTGGCTGCTGTGAATAGCCCTTGAACCTGGATTTACTTAATGCAGCTCCCCACACGTCTCTCCACGTTGCGCATGTCAGTTGGTGTCAAGCCTAAGCAGAAGTGTGCACAGAGATCCTGGTGGCTTTATACCTGGCAATGTCCTCAGGGCAGCTCATGTCCTGCTCAGGAGTGGCCTCAAAGCTCACAGACCCCTTCTCCCTTGGCTGTGTGTCCCTGTCCCCTTCAAGAAGTGTGGATAGAATAGAATCATAGAATAGTCAGGAGTGGAAAGGACCTTAAGATCATCCAGTTCCAACCCCCTGCCATGGGCAGGGACACCTCACACTAAACCATGGCACCCAAGGCTCTGTCCAACCTGGCCTTGAACACTGCCAGGGATGGAGCATTCACAATCTCCCTGGGCAACCCATTCCAGTGCCTCAGCACCCTCACAGGAAAGAATTTCCTCCTTAGATCCAATCTAAACTTCCCCTGTTTCAGTTTGAACCCGTTACCCCTTGTCCTGTCACTGCAGTCCCTAATGAAGAGTCCCTCCCCAGCATCCCTATAGGCCCCCTTCAGACACTGGAAGCTGCTCTGAGGTCTCCACGCAGCTTCTCTTCTCCAGGCTGAACAGCCCCAACTTCCTCAGCCTGTCTTCATACAGGAGGTGCTCCAGCCCCTGAGCATCCTCGTGGCCTCCTCTGGACTTGTTCCAACAGTTCCATGTCCTTTTTATGTTGAGGACCCCAGAACTGCACACAATGCTCCAGGTGAGGTCTCACGAGAGCAGAGCAGAGGGGCAGGATCACCTCCTTGGACCTGCTGGTCACGCTGCTTTGGATGCAGCCCAGGACACGGTTGGTTTCTGGGCTGTGAGCGCACACTGAAGCCGGCTCATGTTCATTTTCTCATCAACCAGCACCCCCAAGTCCTTCTCCTTGGGCTGCTCTGAATCTCTTCTCTGCCCAACCTGTAGCTGTGCCTGGGATTGCTCCGACCCAGGTGCAGGACCTTGCACTTGGCATGGTGATGCACGGCCTCAGTGCTCCTTAATGCCACCTCTTTGGTGCACTTTGCTATATACCCTCTCAAAAGGTGTTATGTCCCCTGAACAGGTAAGTCACTGGCAGCTGGTGCCAAGGATGTGACTTTTTGCAGCTTTGGGCGTCATAACTGTGCAAGGAGCAGAGATCAGATGAGGGCAGTGATGTCGTTTTCCATTGTTCTTAGTCAATGATGGGGAGCTTTCCTCTGCAATGATGCTGCACAGAGATGATGGGTTAGATGACAGTGATAGATGGATGATTTAATCACACTTTATCTCTGTTGCATGCAGGCTGGGGAATCTCCTGTCTTTGAATGCTCACAAAATTGAGAAGGGGAAAAGCAAGGTGCAGATTCACAAGGCTCCATTCAGCTGACACTGTTAAGCAGTCCTGTTTATCACTCCTGCTTCCATCGTGTCTCCTGATGGAGGTTTAATGTGAATTCTAGTTAAAGCACAGATGTTGTCTCAGGACTGGGGATTTGCTTTGGGCTCCTGTTTATTCAGGTATAAACTTCAGCTTCCAAAAGTTTGGGGTTTCCTTTCATGGTCCATAACTTCCTCATCAGGGAGCTCAGGAGCTGCATTAAGCTCGTGGCTGTCACCTGCATTGTGCTGCAGCAGTGCTGGGCATGCACACACAGTTTTCTACCCCACCACCTTTTCCCTCTCTGCCTGCTTGCTGCCAGGCAAACCCCGGTGTTTGGCACACCAGCTTGCTTGGTTCATGTTCTTCCAGCCCCCCAGAAGCTTTTCCTGTCGTGTTACTCACGCTCTGCTGCCATCGTGGGGCCACCTCCTCGTTGCAGCCTCTTCTGGATGCTCTTTCCCTATACCCGGTTAGATTCTCACAGCAAACTGAGTTTTCTCCAGGGACTGGGGGCATTTCAGACCCATTGAGGTTCTCTGCAAAGGAAAGGACATCAAATGAGTCATTTTTAGCTCCCTATATGTTATTTAGCCTTTTTAAATAGGCTTTTTTCCTCCTTGCCTTGTTCCTACATGTTTGGCCCTCTTTGTTACTTGTAGGTGTTTGGCAACAGCATGAACAAGCCCAGACTGAAGCTGCCATCACTGATGCAGCCAGAAAATATGAATGCAGGACATAGGAAGATTTAGATGCAAAGAACAAAACCACAAGAATTTCAGATGTCACCAATGTCACTGGGGGCTCCCAAAGCAGGGCCTGGTCCCGAGAGGAATGGCAGCACAAAGGCAGCTGAGGAAACCAGTCCTTGCAGAAAGGAGCCAAAGATGCTTGGGAAATGCCTGGACTGACCTGCACTGTCTGAAGGAGGAGATGGGCTTCCCAGTCCCAGCGGTGGCTATGTCACCTCTCCATATTGCAGTCCTGGAATGGGACCTGGAATGTCCCTGCTGTTTCTTCCCCTCCCATCTGCAGGGGTCTGGCTGCAGCTTGCAGCCACAGGCAGTAGTGATGAGGCTTGGTGCTCGGCAGGGGGTGGGTGGCAGGGAAAATCAGATCCTTCCCAGCTTTCCAGCCATGGGGATGCCCCCTGCTTTTCTGAAGAAAACAAGGCAAGCAGCCAAGAAGCGGTGTAGCATAGCTCCTCTTTCTCCAGCTGGAAGATAAGAAGATTTATTTCTAATCATTAATCCTTTCATGCTACTTTATACCACAGAAACAAGGAGAGAAAGGTCATAATCCTGTTTTCTCCCTCCATTTTCCTGCCACCTTTAGGACTTGAATGCAACCAGCTCCAAACCCTGGGAAAAGCAGGGAATTTATTCCAGGTGTTTCCCATGCATGTATAAACATGCTTCTTTTCTTGAAGCTGTGATACAGCCCAGATGCGGCTGTGAAACCTCAACTTTGAGAAGGTGGTGTCCCAGCCCTCATCCCACTGGTCAGACAGTGTTTGCCCTAAAACGTGACCCGGTGTTTAGGCAAATCCCAGCACACACATGCACTCCCCAACAGTTCCTGGCAGCTGGAAACAAAAGGCAAGCCAGGATTAAAAAGGAATGGCAGATTAAGCTGCTATCAAGAGGTAATTAAAGTCAGGAGGAGAGATAATGGTGACAATCATAATGAATCAATCCATACAGGGGTGTTTGCCCAAGGAATTACTGTCACTGGAGACAGAAGCAGGAATTCTTGCCCATCAGCAGAACTGGGTTATTTGCTGTTAATCACAATTACTCGTATTCATATCTTTACCCAAATAATTGCTTCTGATAAGGGCTGCGCATTTATAGGGGGCCATGGAGAGGAGTGGGCCAGTGGAGCATCGGCGCAGTGAGACAGCAGAGAGCCCAGGGTGACCAAGGGGTGGTGAGTACCATGGTGCTGATGCGATCAGGCTGGCCCCATGGCCTTGTCCCCTCTTTCAGTTTTCAGGTGGTGGGTTTCAGGCCCCTGTGATGCTTTGCTGAGCCATTGCCATGAGGCTATCCATCTCTTGAACTGCAGTGCTGGTTATACGGAGGGTTTTCCTCCTCTGGAGCAACCAGAGGAAAGAACAGGGCCCAAAGAGCAGCAGGACCAGATGGCTTCCAGAAATAACGTGGTCTTTAGTTTTAGATAGAGTACAGCAGATGGGCAGGAGCAAGAAGGTGCTCAAATGGCTGTGTGCCAGCCTGTGTGGAAGCTCTCCTAGCAGTACGGCTCCTGCGGGGTGATGGAACCCCGATTCAGCAAAGCCTTTGGGTGCCATCTGACATTTCAACCCTGGGATTTGTCTGCTGGGAAGATCTGAGATGCTCCCTGGTCCCCGGCTGGCTTGGTGAACACTTCTCTCAGCTAAAGGTCCCAGCTAGCTATGGAGTTTGCATGTATTGAAAGCCAACATCACTGGGGAGGGCAATGAAAAGCTCCGAAGTAGCTTAAGAAGGTTCAAACAGCTCTACTGCGAGGACACTGAAGATCTACCTCCTTCCTGGGGTCTGACTGATTCAAACCCCAATGCAATACATTACTGACACACAGGAGGAGTTCCTCCCCAGCAGCCATTGCTGCTCCTAGCAGCTTCAGCAAGCAAATGTGATCTGCACAAGGAAGACAAAGTAAGGGAAAAGGGAAGTTGATCCACTTGATCAGCAGCTAGGAAGGTTATGAAGAGAGAGGAAAGTCTGGGGTTTAAAATGGGCTCTTAAATGTGGTGCTCTAAGAGAAATGCCAGCCCAGGGTTGGCCCAGGGAAAGCCAAACTGTAGTGGTGAGATCCTGGCTGGGGGGGCAAGGCTCACACTCCAGGTTTCACCCCTGAAGAATGGTGTTCTCTGCTTTCAGTGGCTGTTCTCGGTTCTTGCTCATCCCTCAGCTGGGAAGCAGAGCTCTGGAGCCTGGCTTGTTTGGACTCCAATAAGAAACTTGGAAGTGTCCTTCTTGTTTTACTGATTCCACCCTCCCCAAAGCCAAATCAGGCAGGAAAACACAACACTAGAGCATCACAAGTGTGTGTGAGATGAAGCTGATGGCTCCTTAATCATGCAAACCCTCTCACCTGTGTGCTCTGTGACCCCCAGGAAGTATTTGTGCTGTGGCTTATAGCAAATAGAAAGGATAATAGAAATAGAAAGCCTCTTCTCATGCCTAGAGTAGTGAACATCCCAGGAGGGTGGCTAGAAACTGTTCAGGGAACTCTGACAGTTCTCTAATGCTCTTCTTACTGTCTAGTTTCAGACTGAAGTAAAACCAAAGTGGGAGGACTTTGGTTTGGGGTTAGCAAGTGCTATGTGAGGGTTTCCAGGACAGGCATAGAAGGGAAGGTTTGCTTCTGTGCAGGAGGAAGGCAGGAGTATTATACATTACAGATATGGCTCCTGAGTAATCCCCGGGGAAATGTGAGCACCCACAAAGGCACAGCCCCATCTCTGCAGGCATAGGGCTGCAAAAAGAGCCTGGAAATAAAAGGGAAAACCATGCAATGGCTTGTGAAGAACCAAATGGCCTCCCCTCCCCTCCCCTAATCAGGAGGTGCTGCTGCTACTGGAAATGTGGTTGTTTTTCTTCTCCCTCTTGAAAGATCAGAGCGCAGGCAGATGTTGGCACACACTGAGCTCTTCCTTTCCCCTGTGTGGACATGAACTTTTAGTTGGTACACGCCATTTGTTTTGGTCTGAAAAATCCCAAATAGGTTTCTCCTGAGCATCCTCCACGTATATCAATAAGTGTGGGATGTGGGGGCTCTAAATCCTCTCCCTGAAGGCTCAGCTCTCAGGGACCTGTAGTAGAATGGGGTTTCCTCCATGGTGGTGTGCTGCTGGTGGATTAACTTGCGTGATACCTCCCTGTGTATTCACTACATGTTATACTGACTCACAGCAAGGCTCCGGCGCATCCATCATGTCACAGAGGCACCCTCAGACGTGTGCTCCAGGACTGCACGGTGGTGGGATGACAACTACCACCAGCTTCCAATGAGCTGACAACCCGAATGATTGGAACTGTTCTTTTTTAGTATTTTAAATAATACAACTTTTCCTGGCAGGAATTTCTGCCTAATGTATAGTGGTGTTATTTACAGAGCCATGCGTGGCACGTGGCCTCTACCAGACAGAGAGCATGGTCATTTTAAAGGAGGTGATCCTGCCCCTCTGCTCTGCTCTCGTGAGACCTCCCCTGGAGCATTGTGTGCAGTTCTGGTGTCCTCAGCATAAAAAGGACATGGAACTGTTGGAACAAGTCCAGAGGAGGCCACGAGGATGCTCAGGGGCTGGAGCACCTCCTGTATGAAGACAGGCTGAGGAAGTTGGGGCTGTTCAGCCTGGAGAAGAGAAGGCTGCGGGGAGACCTCAGAGCAGCTTCCAGTGTCTGAAGGGGGGCTATAGGGATGCTGGGGAGGGACTCTTCATTAGGGACTGTAGTGACAGGACAAGGGGTAACGGGTTCAAACTGAAACAGGGGAAGTTTAGATTGGATCTAAGGAGGAAATTCTTTCCTGTGAGGGTGCTGAGGCACTGGAATGGGTTGCCCAGGGAGGTTGTGAATGCTCCATCCCTGGCAGTGTTCAAGGCCAGGTTGGACAGAGCCTTGGGTGCCACGGTTTAGTGTGAGGTGTCCCTGCCCATGGCAGGGGGTTGGAACTGGATGATCTTAAGCTCCTTTCCAACCCTGACTGTTCTATGATTCTGCTGCTCATAAAAGCTTGTGCTTTAATTCAGCAGAGAACATGGTTTCCCTGTCAACTGGTCTGTGCCAACTGATTATTCCTATGATTGTGCTATCACACTTCTCAGCATCTCTTCCATCCCGAGAGAGGTAAGCATTTCCTGTGCCTCTGCTTCCTTTTCTCCATGGCTTGTTGTTCAAAGAGCCTGTGAGCTATAAAGTCAGGCTTTTATCTTCCCTCCGCAACTTGCATCTGCTTGGATGTTGGGCATTTTCCTGCCTAAACTGATTTAGTTGAATGAGATAAATGTTGAGAACATTTTGTCTTGCTTGAGAACAGAAATATTGATCTGTCTGGGAGAGAAAATCAGGGCCCCAAACAGACCAAACTACAGTAGAAGAGACACTTTTGAGCCTGTTTTTGTGCCCGGTACTTACAAAGGCTGATAAAGGTGGAAGTTTCTGCTTCAAATAGCTTAATCCTATGAAAACATAACTAAAAATAGTCAGTTTTGTCAGCTCACCACTTTACAGTCCTAGGTAAGACCTTGGCAGGGTTGTCCCTTCTCCCTCCTGTGCAGGGACACTTAAGGCACAGAGGACTAAAGGAGCTGGGCTGGAAGAGGACAGAGCTGAGGCTTCCCCCATGGCCACAACCAGGGCCTTTGAGCACTGCTTTTAATGCCTTGTCACTCAGTCATTGCCGGTGCTGGGCTTTGGTACCACCGCTGTTATCTACCTGTTCCTCAGCCAGATATCTGGGTGTTTAATTTCTTGCTTCTCCAGTCTCTTGTCCTGCTCTTTTGTGCTGAATCAGCATTAACCTCCCATTCCCATATCCTTATAGTAAGGTGATCACATCGGAAAGAAGCAAGTGCAGGTAGTTTCTGTGTGATGATGAACAAAGATGAGTTCCTGTAAGATTTGCCTCTTTTTCTGTGTGAAGCTTTGCCAAATCCTTGGAACCCTGTTTCCTTGAGGGTACAGTTTAAATCTCATTCTCTCTGGTCCTAAAACCATTCCTTTTCACCATTCTTCCTCTGCTGACTTCCTCCCCAGGCCTGAGAGGCATGCTGATGGGCTCTTCCACAGCGAGCTCAGCAAGATGAATGGCAATGCCTTTGTGCAGCAGCTGATCAAGCACCTGATGGGCCTCAAGGAGAGGTAAGGACCAGCCAAAACCACCCTCCTGAGGGCTGGAAGTCTCCAGAGGCAGATGGGATCCCAGCAATGAGGGTGGTGTCCACAGGGATGAGCTGTCTCCAGCTCCAGAGCCAGCGTGAGTGCAGTCCTCATCCAGAAGATGCTCAAGATGAGGCAGGAGAGGAGAAGGGGAGGGATACAGGACACCTTGATGGTGGGAAGAGAGAAATTCCTATGTCTTGTGATGAGTCCCACATCACATGGCTGGGAGGAACAGGCATTGTCCTGCATGTTCCCAGGTCCCAGAGGCACTCCGATGGACTCTTCACCAGTGAGTACAGCAAGATGAGAGGAAACGCTCAGGTCCAGAAATTCATCCAAAACCTGATGGGCCGCAAGCGCAGGTAAGAGCTCTGCTTCCTGGGAATGGAAAGTGCTTGAGCCATGTTCCTAATCTCCATCTAAACCTGCCCTGGTGCAGCTTGAGGCCGTTTCCTCTTGTCCCATCCCTTGTTCCTTGGGAGCAGAGCCCAGCCCCTCCTGGCTCCATCCTCCTCTCAGGCACTTGCAGGCAGCCATCAGGTCCCCCCTGAGCCTTCTCTTCTCCACACTGAACCCCCCAGCTCCCTCAGCCCTTCCCCATCACACCTGGGCTCCAGGCCCTGCCCCAGCTCCATTGCCCTTCTCTGGCCCTGCTCCAGCACCTCAAGGTCTCTCTTGTAGTGAGGAGCCCAGAACTGAGCACAGTCCCCATGTATGGCTCTGACTGCCAGACTGGGCAGATTTTAGACATAATCCTATATATATATGGCAAAAATGGGGCCTTTCATCCAGCTGTCATACAGGCACACGAGCTCCCACTGAAGCCATGTATATGAACACATCACCAGTTATAATATGTGGGGCACTGTGACACAACCCACAGTTGCCTCTGCTCTTGATGCTGGTATGTTATGAAGGGTCAATATTGCCTCCAGAGGTTTCCTTCAGGTGCAGTCTTTTCTGCAGGGCACAGACAGCACATTGATTCCTTCCCATCTGTTCTGTGTGCTCTGATATTTCCTGTGGCATGCACCCCTAGCAAAGTCCTGGCAGATGCAGGAGAGTTTTCATTTCCAAGTGCTTGGAAAAGGTACATACATCCATGGGTGGAAGGACATGCCAGCCTGGGTAATGAGGCAGAGAGCAAGAGCATATTAAAGCCTGTCCCTTTGCCAGCCAGCAACCTGATTTGAAGAGGACACTTCTTTTTCCTCCTGCACAGCTCTGGTGACAGCAGGTTAATAGAGGCGGGACCATCAGTGGGGTGCTGTGGGGTGAACCTGCCTTCCATAGCAGGGCTGCTTTACAGCTGTGCTCCTTACACTGCATGGTCAAGTGTGAGGTGTCCCTGCCCATGGCAGGGGTTTGGAACTGGAGGTTCTTAAGGTACTTTCCAAGCCAAACCATTCTGTGATTCTATGATTAATGATTTTCTTTCTCTAAACCAGCCCTCCAGGCCCAGTCAACACATATGTGCAGGAGAGAGATGAAAACAGCTATGAGGAACTTTGCCTTATGAGGCTCTACCAGAGCTTTTTAAACACGAGGTATGTGGGACAGGTTTGTCACTTCTATGGCCCTGCTCATCACAGCGTTAAGGCAGAAAGAAGACTTCTAGTAACTTGTAAATGCCCAGGTGTTGCCTCAAGCACAAATCTGATGTTAATGATCCAAAGGGTTCAGCTGATATAGAATGGTTTGGATTGGAAAGGACCTGAAGCTCATCTCCTTCCAATCCCCTGCCCCGGGCAGGGACCCCTTCCACTGGAGCAGCTTGCTCCAAGCCCCTGTGTCCAACCTGGCCTTGAACACTGCCAGGGATGGGGCAGCCACAGCTTCTCTGGGCACCCTGTGCCAGCGCCTCAGCACCCTCCCAGGGAAGAGCTTCTGCCTTATCTCCAACCTGAGCTTCCCCTGTTTCAGTTTGAACCCGTTACCCCTTGTCCTGTCACTGCAGTCCCTAATGAAGAGTCCCTCCCCAGCATCCTTGTAGCCCCCTTCACACACTGGAAGCTGCTCTGAGGTCTCCCCGCAGCCTTCTCTTCTCCAGGCTGAGCAGCCCCAGTGTTCTCAGCCTATCTTCATACAGGAGCTGCTCCAGCCCCTGAGCATTCTCGTGGCCTCCTCTGGACTTGCTCCAACTAAAAAATATCTTTAAAAATATCCTCCAAAATATCCTCCAAAAGGGGAAGATGGAAGATTTATTAAGTTGTTCAGATTTTAAAATCACTTCTGCCTCATTGCCCATCACCTTGTGAGGCACTGTCTGAAGAACTGCCATTGCTGAATTGCAGCCTCCATCACACAGTTTGGTCCCTCCTGTCACTCTGCCCACAGCCACGCTCCCAGGGGTGGGTGGCTTGCAGAGCTAGAGAAGCAAATGTTGTAGCTGATCTGCAAGGTGACATGTGGCTCTGTGCAACCTCAATTGATTTCCATGCCTAGTTTCATGGTAACCTCTATTTCTATGTGCCAAGCACACCCGGCACTCAGTTTTGCCTTCCCTAAAGCAAAGCTGTCATTGGGAGTTACAGTGCCATGTAAAAGTCAGTTATTAAAAATAATAATCCTAGTGAAATTAAATAGTATCTTTTTCTAATCATCCTGGATTGAAACGATTCTTCATCCCATTAGGAAACCTGATCTAGCAGTTAAAATGGAAAGCCTTCCCTACCCTGACTTCATTCAGCTATCGATTCAAACACTCACCTCAGGATGGGCTGTCCCAGCATCCGGACGTTGTCTCCTCCTAGTGACCAACCACTTTCAATGGGACATCTCACTGTGAAATCATTAACATTAGGAGGAATAAGCTGGCCCTTAGTACCTCTTGTCCATGTTGCCCACAAAACTGGGGATGGGAACACCAACCTGTGCATTTGTGGGGTGTCTGGGTGCAAGCAACCACGATCAGGGTCCCTCTATCATACACCTGCCTTGTGTGGCCTTGTCACACCCCAGGCTGCCTGTGCCCCCAGAAATAACAAACTGCCACTCATCTGTTCCCTTCCAACAGCCACTCAGAGGATGATGCCAGGGAAGCTGCTGCAGTCACCAGCCAGTACATTTGCCCCATCTTTAAGCATCTGGCTGCAGACATGAAGGAAGACACAGAGAATTTCAACTGAAGGTGAAGGAAAAGAGGCAGCCAAGGAGGCAGCTTTGCATGTATATAGCCTTGGAATAAACAGGGAAGCTACTGGTTTTGCTTAGGAAAAACCGTGGAGATCAGAAATAAATAATCTGGAAAGCAGCCAAATCCCAATAAAACCTCTCTGATTATGAGGAGTGTGATAGATGTGTGAAGTGTGAAGCGCTGTCAGTAGATGGAGCCTGAATGAAGCGCATCGCTTGCACTCTGTGGTAGCATCTGCCTGCTTCTGAAGTCAAATAAAGATTTGTCAGCTACACCTGTGCTTTGGCTGCTCTTTGGGAGACAGGCACAAGGGTTTGGTGTTGGGCCATTAGGAATGGGGGTGTGAGGGAAGAGGTATTTTGCCAGGCTTTCCCCACATAAACCATGTTGGGATCAGCTGGAGTCTCTGGCCATACCTTCCATGGCTGGGAGTCAGGACTGCCCGCAACCCAACCATACAAAGAAGCTAGTATCTCCATTTAGCAGAAATTAGAGTTTGCTGCAAAGGAATGTATAGAATCACAGAATGGTTTGGGTTGGAAAGGACTGTAAGATATCCAGTTCCAACCCCCTGCCACAGGCAGGGGTGCCTCACACTGAGCAGCTTGCTCCAAGCCCCTGTGTCCAACCTGGCCTTGAACACTGCCACGGATGGGGCAGCCACAGCTTCTTTGTGCAACCTGTGCCAGAACATCAGCACCCTCACAGGGAAGAGCTGCCTTATATTTAACCTCATTTCCCCTGTTTCAGGTTAAATCCATCACCCCTTGTGCTACCACTACAGTCCCTAATGAAGAGTCCCTCTCCAGCACCCTATAGGCCCCCTTCAGATACTGGAAGCTGCTCTGAGGTCTCCCCACAGGCTTCTCTTCTCCAGCCTGAACAACCTCAATGTTCTCAGCCTGTCTCCATACGGGAGCTGCTCCAGCTCCTGAGCATCCTCGTGGTCTCCTCTGGTCTTCTTCCAACAGCTCCATGAACTCCTTATGTTGAGGACACCAGAACTGCACCTGCAGTGCTGCAAGTGGGATCTCATGAGAGCAGAAGAGAGCAGCAGGATCACCTCCCTCAGTCTGCTGCTTATGCTATGGGGGTGCAGCCTGGAACACAGGGGGGTTCTGAGCTCAAGCACACACTGAAGCTGGGTCATGTTTGGTTTCTCTGAACTGAGAAATGTACTGAGAGCTATTCAACATAGATACACAGAGATTTTGAAGAGCAGCTCTGAAATATGGCATCTTCAGCTGCCATCATGTGTGCCTATGGCAGAACTGCTCATCTGTCCTGCGCCAGCAGTTTTCATCATTTATGATGTACCTGACACCTCCAAAGAAGCCAGTTGCTCTCAAATGTTCATCTAAGCACCCATGCCCTTACTGTGATGCTGAAATGCTCTTCTCAAGGACCTTGACATTTATCTATTTTGGTCCATAGGAAAGAGACCTTTCAGAAGCAGTGTTGACAGCCTGTATTTTGTTAAGCCACTAATGACCACCTGGCTAAAATGCAGCATGTGAGAACCTTCTGAAATCAATGGGGATGTTAAAAGGAGCAGTGAGATCAGCTGCCTCCTCTGTCCTCTTACACCATGAGCAAGCTGAAAACAAGGGTGTATGTCCACTTCCTCCCTACTGCAGGAGGCTGGAGCATACAGGGAGCATCCTAAGAGTCAGCCCTTGTCCTCCTTCGTGTTTATCACAGGGGGCTTGGCTCTAAATTCTGGAATGCTTCAAATATATCCTGTTGCTACAAGGAGTTTAGGGGCAGGTAAGACCCAGGAACACAGTAGAAATAGAAACCTATGCGTCATCGTGTCCCATGAGCTTTAAATGGCTCTCAATAAGTCATCCAATGAGGCAAAGGTTGAACTGCAGTGGACCACACCAGCCAGGCAATGCTTTTTGCCTTCATGCACTGGGAGAAGCAGGGCGAGAAGATCAGCTTCATCAGAGACAGGGTTTTTTCCTCAACATGGCTGTTTCTTACGGGCTCCTCACTTCTGTGCTCTTTCTGCTCCTCTTCATAACAGACATTTCAGCACAGCAACAAGGTAAGCTCGTGCAGCAGGTCCATGCCCCCAAATGAATAACCCCATTGCAGCAAGCTGCACCATTACAGGGGGAGATTTTTACCCTCCTAATCTGAGACAGCTTTGTTCAATGACCTTCTCCCCAACGGGAACCAGAGGGGCCTCAGGTCTCCCCCAGCTCTGTCACTAAGGCAATTTTGTCTCATTTGTGTGGTTCTCCAGGGTGTTCTGTTGGTGACAGTGAACCAAGTGTTTATGAAAATAACTCTCCTGGCTATGTGCTGACCACTATCCATGTGGATTCAGGCTTCACTGTGACCATTGATCCTACTTCCCAAGATGCCAAGTTTTTCACTATACAGGGGTCTGAGCTGCAGCTGACTGAATCTGTGGACTATGAGGTAAGCCTTTAGCTAACAGGCTATAAGGATGAGATGGGTAATTCTGGGGTCTAATGAATTTCAGCACGGGGGCTGGGATATTCAGGGACTCATAACCCATTTCTAAAGGATCAGTTGAGTTTGAGCTCACTGCTTGGGAGGACAGCCTTCCACAAGCAGAGTATAGGGAGCGGAGGGTGCATGGTGTGCCTGCTGTCACCTTCCTTCAATAACTGTCTGAATTAAAGCAAAGGGAAGTTTTAAAACCAAAAATGTGGCAACTGGAGTGTTCAGAGCTCTCCAGGACTCCTATAAAATGGTCCCTGTGTGCCTGTAGAAAACAGCTCAGAGCAGTGAGGTGCTCTTACGTGAAGCATAAAGGCAGTTTAAAAGGTCAGTGTAGTCAGATAGGTTGCTACTAAATTATTTTACCTTTCTGGAATGCTCTGTTCACAGCCATAGGCGTCTTTAAGCTGCCTTTCCCCTGATGTAAACCCCCACATGTATGTGAGTGAGCAGCAGACAGTGAACAGCCTATGGCACTGTGCTGTGTGTGGGATGGTTCCATTTCTAAGTAGAAATCTCTGGGTTTACCTGAAGTCCTAAAAGATGGCCAATAGCTCTTCTGATGCTACAGGAATCACAGGGGAGAGGATCGAAGATAGGTTTGCTTTGACTTCATCATAAACAGGATCCCAGCACTGATGGAAGGCTGTAAAGGAAAGAGGAAATCAGATGGTCCTGAGAACCAGATAAAACCCAGCAGCATTTCTGATCCAGCAATGCATGTACTTGTCTCATTTACTTTAGAAGGAGTTAGTACATTTTGGCTTGTTTCTATACTGACTCAGTTCTGGGTTTGCATGCAGGAAAACACTGTGCTGATAGTGACCCTGATTTGTTGGCACTCTGATGTGCAGGTGAGTGCTCTTCCAAACGCACAGCGCTGTTATGGGGTACTGCAGGGCAACAGGTACTTCCCTCTGCTGCTCCTGGTCCACAGGCCTGGATGAGGTGAGGTCTTCCTTTGTGGACATACCCCTCTCAATCAAAGAGAGAGCACCCAAAGCCCTGTGATAGGCCAAGGGGAATGGCTTTAACCTGCCCGAGGGGAGACTGGGATGAGCTCTTAGGCAGAAGCTCTTCCCTGGGAGGGTGCTGAGGTGCTGGCACAGGGTGCCCAGGGAAGCTGTGGCTGCCCCATCCCTGGCAGTGTTCAAGGCCAGGTTGGACACAGGGGCTTGGAGCAAGCTGCTCTAGTGGAAGGGGTCCCTGCCCGTGGCAGGGGTTGGAACTGGATCAGCTTTAAGCTCCCTTCTAACCCAAACCATTCTGTGAATGGGGAAAGGGTGGGAACAAGCTCCCTCCCCCTCTTCTCCCACTGTGGGTTGGCTGCAAACCCAAGCCCCATTCAGTCCCTCCCCAGATGTGCCCTTACACCATCCCCTCTGGTCACTCTTCAAAGCAGTATCTGCCCCAGCAGTCTTATTTTTGTCTTTGACTCTTATTTTACCCTTCCTGCAGAGTAATTCCTTGGACATTCTGGTGACCATTCTCAATGAGAACGACAACAGCCCCGTGTTCAAGCAAACCAACCTCACCCAAGTTGTTCCTGAGGTAAGCATCGCATGGAAGTGAAGAGGGAACTCAGTGCTGTGGGGCTAAGGAAGCATTAGCAGGGAGAAGTCTTCAGCCCATTTCCCAGAGAGAATAACCACAGCAACTTTGCTGCAGGATACAAAAGTGAATGCAACCATTATAGCCCGTGAGGAGTTAACTGCCAGTGATGCTGACCTGGACACCATCTTCTATGAACTCACAGCAACAGTGCAGGTGAGCATCTATGGGGGAAAACAGTAGCTCTAAAGAAGCCCTTGTGTTTAATTCAGAAGAGCCCAACTTTGGAGGCTCAGGTCACTGTATTGCATTTAGTTCTCTGACAGCTTTGACAGCACTCAGAAGGTTGGTTTGGTTAGCAGACGAGAGCAGTCAATATTTCAGGTATCAATCTTTTACTGCTTCTACTTTGATTCCATTGTACAGAATCAGCTCTTGTCTGGGATGTTCTGAGCAGTATCATCCAGGGAAGTGTTGTTGGGGTGTCCTGTAAACACGTTGGGTAGAGACCTTTGTACCTCACTGGGTTGAGGGCTGTGACGAGTTGAACAGGGAAAGGAGGAGTCCTTGTCCTGCTTGCCAACGGTGTCCATGCAAAGTGGAGATAAGTAGAGCTGCCCAAGGTTCCACAAAGAATTCCAGACTGCTTTTCCCTGCTTCCAGTTCAGTGAGTTTATCTGCTCTTTAGAGGTTTGCTTGGTTATTCTGGTCAAGACATAGAGTTAAAGGAGAACCACAGCAAGTGCAGATGGTTCTGAAGTAAAATGCAGGGTATGTTACTTCAATTTACCTTTGTGGTGGCTTCCAAAGCTCTGGGCTAAGGCAACTGATCTTGTCAGCTCTGAGGCTGAGCCGTCCTTGATCTGTCTTGTGCGTGGATGTGAGATTGCTTGGCTGTCATGGACCCAAACCAAAGGCAACACATTGAGTGTAGGAAATAAATGAGGTAAAAGATGTCATCCAGTGCCGGCTGAGCAGGAAGGCAGGCAAAGCAAGGGGTCTTGGAGAAGAACACTCACAGGAACGTGAACAAACCTTTCTGACAAGACAGAATGAGGCCAATTGGAGCTGTTCAGTCTGGGCAAGAGAAACTCTGTGGAGACCTCAGAGCAGCTTCCAGTGTCTGAAGGGGCTACAAGGATGCTGGAGAGACTCTGCATCAGGGACTGTAGTGACAGGACAAGGGGTGATGGGTTCAAACTGAAACAGGGGAAGTTCAGGTTAGATATAAGGCTGAAGCTCTTCCCTGTGAGGGTGCTGAGGCGCTGGCACAGGGTGCCCAGAGAAGCTGT